TGCCAAATATAGAATAGTCTGGCAAAATTTGTTGGTAGGTAAAAATGTAGGATATGAAATAGTCTTTCAAAGTAGCCTTTAAAATGTGCATTGTGTAAATACAGATTTTGATTTTTAAAAATTAAGGTGATACATTGTAACATTAAGAAATGTCCTGCTGATACTTACTTAGGGAGCTTTTAAAGCTCAGATTATTGAGCCAATAGACTAGAATGGCAAAAAGAAATGCTTCTTATTTTGCAGATCACTGAGGCGATCAACGATAATAGCTCTCACACTTCTACTGTGTGGGGCCGACCTGCAGGTGCGACAAACACTTGACACTTAGTAGTTCATATCCAAAAGGAGTGAATACATTCAGGAAGAGTAAAAAAGGCTGCATAGCATCACTTTTTAAAAACAAGTAATTGTAATTTAAACAACAAAATGGAAGAAGTGATTGCTGCAAGATTTAGGAGTTCAATTTAGTGTATGAGTTTCAATTATTTAAAATACAGAAGTACAAAGGAAGGCTGAGAAGTACTTTTTTGTTGTTGTTTCTTAAGATCCTACTACATGTGCAGAATATAGGGCTGATTGGCTTCAGAGATATTTGCAAGGAGTGTGCTTTCTCTAGGCACTTGAGTTAGATGAAAGTGTAGCTGTGTCAATTGTGCAGCCGCAGTATAAATTCTGAGTGAGGAGGACTGGTGGGCTGCCCCAGGAGTAGTCCAGCTGCTAAAAGACAAGCAGCATCAGCAATGACGGTGCCCCTGTGTCGTGCCTCACGCACACTGCTCTCCTCCGTGGGCAGTCGTCTTGAGTGAATTGGCTAAGTGGGTGGGAGGCTTCTGTTTTTGAAATTGTATTTACAGGGGAACAATAAGGCAAATTAAAGTAACATTTAGCTCTCACCAAGACTGTAAGTGGGCTTTTTGACATTTCGCATCTTATCATTTTGCTACTCCAGCACGCCTTCGTGTAACACCTAAGTGTGAGCCTGAAGGGAACCATAGAAGTATTTGGGTGTTCACACAAGGTTGATACCACACCATCCGCAGTGAGGGCTGTGCGTGCCTTTTGTTCTGTCTGTTATGTAGTTTTTGTAACAGGAGACTTTTGTTGCTGTTTGCTGTGTACGTTTGTTTCTTCCGGACTTGGTGGCAGGACGGGAGGGGTGACTCTGAGATGGATTGGAAGGGCAGTGCTCTCCAGAGATAAGGTGCGTTCTCATCCGCCCACGCGCTAATTACAAGAAAACCTGGCTGATCTCGTCTTGATTAAGCGGGAGAATACCGTATTTATCCTTTGTTGCTGGTACAAACCATGATTTTACTGAGAACCATTAGCTGTTTAAAACTTGGTACATAAATGAGAGGGGAGCTAAGTGGATTTGTGAGCTTGCCATTAGGGCATTTTAGATTACACAGGCAATTACTGCATTCATTCCCCAGGGATGGCCCTCTGCAAAACCGCTGTGGCGTCAGACATCACGCACAAATTGTCCCGGGGAGATTCAAATTTCCAGTAGCATATTTAATTTTGTTATCACACTTGTTTCAAATAAAACAAATATTATGACAAGTAGAAGAAAATTTGCTTTCCTAATATAGGAAATTACAATAAATGTTGAAAATTACTTCCTAATGTACTTGACTTACCTTTTCTTATATAGTCATAATTACTTCAAGTGGTTATTAGCATATTTTATGGGTGAAAAGGTTTTGCAATCATAGCAAAAGGTATCTGCTCTGTTCAGAAATTTTTTAGAGAAGAGATTCACATCAAAACTCAAGTGACCACCTTTACACAATCTGTAACTTTATAAGTTAACTAGTTTTTATCTTAAATAGTTTTAAGAGTTGAGATTGCATTTTAGGCAAGTTGAAAAAACTTTTAAAGGTGTTTTAGAGAAATGGGTATAAAAAATAAACCGTTAATTGAAATTGGGCTTTTTAAAAAATAAGAGTTGAAATATATCTTTTCTTTCTGAGTTTTCTTAAAATTGGCAAAATAAATATAAATAAATAAATAAATAGGTAAATAAATAAAAATAACACATGTTATAGCTTGGTTGCCGTTCTAGTCCGGGAAGAAGAGTCGGTCCCGAAAAGGCCTCCTGGAAGAGCGCAGAGGTGGCTTCCTCTGGGGACCCCCCGCGTTCCCCGCGCCAGGGGTGGGAGACGACACCCGAGCTGGCCGCCTCCGTGGTGGCGATGCCCGCCGGCGCCCTGGTCAGGGAGGGGGCGGCAGTGGCCTGCTGTCACGGCCTCGGTCCCGTGTGGGGCATTTTTCAAAGGAAACTTTGTGGCCGTCCTGACTGCCGGTGTCCCCGCTTTCTCAGCTTTTCACGGCAGTGGTGCAAGCGAAAGTGCGGTTATGCATTTTGCAAGACAGCGATTCTTTATTTTATTACAAAAACAGACCAACTCTGGAAAGCCAGATTAAATCATTCCTTTCACTTTTTAATGGGATTTGGATGAATAGAGTAAAATATGCACCCCTGCATTCACTGATAGCATCTTTAGGTTGAGGTAATTGAGTCTTTTCTCCCTGACTGAATGAATAATGACTTCATCTGACCCTCAGCCAGCCAGACTCAGGCCGCCTTTGTCACGGCCAGGGGAGCTGGGCTTTGGAGCCTGCTCCGCTCCCCTGGCTTAATTTTTCTTCATTTTAATCCCAAGCCCTATTTTTCTCAATAGTTCAAGCATAAACTATGTAGTAGTTGAAGGAGCGGAAATTGCAAGATATTTGTCCGCCTCGTGCTGCTGCCTTAAGTGGAGCTGAGGACCCCTGCGGTGGTCCTGCCTCCGCGGCGGGCGCTCGGGCACAGCCGCAGGCGGCGCTGCCGGCAGCTGCGGACCCCACTCCCGCGGGCCCCTCCGGCCTTGGGTCCCGCAGCAGCTCCTGGAGGTGCGTGGCCGCTGACCCTCGGCCGGGCTTTTCTGCAGGACTAAGCGCTGCGTGGGGCGTCGTGTGCTGTCACGTGCGGACAGGAGACGCTCCGGATAAACCCGAGAGCCACGTTTTGTTTGGTCTCCTTAGTGAGGAGCCTGTATAGTAAGTGACCAGATGACACAACACTTCACAGGCCTTGGGCTTTCTTCCCTGGGCCTGGTCTGTCCAGTGGGGGAGGGGGGGCCTCAGAAGGGCGGAGCACCGGGGCTCCCGGGCTCCCCGCCCGCTGTGCAGACCCTGCCGCGTCCCGGCTCCGTGCAGAAGCAGAACCCACCCTCTAGACAAACGTCAGTCCTTGTTTCTGCACTGTTTGTAAAGGCCGGGCAGTGTTAACCAGGGGCAGTGCTGTGTGAGCTTTAGGAAGTGGCCATCTGTAAGCTGGTTAGAGAAGGAAACTTCCTATTTTATAATGCCCTTTTACAGTGTTTATTACTGGTGTTCGCCTTATGTCTCCTGCTAGATTGGCCGTTTCTTGGGGGTAAAATCTCGTAGTTTACTTTTTTCATAACCTTAGAGTTTAGCAAAACATATAGTAGACATTTCAATTTATTTGTGTAATGAATTTTCTTCACAGCTACACTTAATGGATTTTCCGACAGACTTTTGTGTTTTCTCTCTAACTACAGGTTTAGTGTTCTCATGAGAGTTTGTGGCAAATATTAATCAAAAATAGATACAAACTAAATACATGAGATGTGGAAGAGGCTAGCATTTTATTGGCCAACGTTATGGATTTTCAAAAGGCACTACAGAATAAAACAAGCTAACAATTAGCTCAGTCACTTGAGAATCATAGTATCTCATTTATTTTATCAAATTTTGGCAATCCTGTTTTCTTTTTTAATTACTCTGTTTCAAAATGTGGACCAGGCTCAGGAGAAACTCAGACAACAGATAGATGGCTGGCCCGATAGGAAGTCAGTCTCCTGTTAGTGTCACACGGACCGTGAAGAAGCACCCTGCTGGCACACACTGGGCCCTGGCCTGCACGTGCCGGTGCGCCTGGAGCCTGTGGAGCCCACGGTGCCTGGGCTTCTCTGGGCTTCTCCGGTCGCAGAGGGGTTAGTGCCAGTTTACAGAGGAGGGAAAGGAGGCTTAAAGAGTGTAAGGGTATTCCCCAAGGTCACGCAATGAGTAAGCAGAGATGCAATCCAAATTTTAGACGGTAATAATAATGAGAATAGTAACCACGTGCATGTAGGCTGACTCTGCCAGGAGCTGGGCATCGTGTCCTGTCACCCCGAGTCCTGCTAGGAGGGCACCGTGACAGCCCTGTTTTGCAGATGAGAACACTGTCGCCAGCCTGCCCAAGGTTGTCCAGCCCGGTGGCAGAGCCAGCATGTGAATTAGCCTGTGTCTGGGTGCGGCGCCACGTGTCCCCTGTCTGCTTCTCAGGCCTTTCTGCAGAGCCCAGGGCCCATTCCCCTCTCCGGCCCCCCCCCCCCACGCTGTGCCGTGCGTGCGCATTCCGCGCCAGCGCAGAGCCAGGACCAACGCTTCATCCAGGCTTCGAACGCGCTGCGCTCTGGCTTCTAGGAAGGCCGCGGGGCTGCCGGCGCTCTGTCCGGCGCGCTGTCCGAGGTCCTGCCCAGAGCACGGCAGAAGCGGGCTGGTTCTTAGCGACAGTAATTTCCGCTCGCGTTTGGCTCGGCCAGTAACCCATCCACAGCGTGAACTGAGCGCGGTGCTTCGGTGGGAGGACCTAGAGTGTAGGATATGCACAGATGACAAGGTTTTCTCACAGTTCACTGCTCTGTCTGCTGCTTTCCTTCTTAATTAAAAAGAGATTCTTTTTAGAGAGGCTCCTGGCGGGCGGGCGACAGGCGCGCTGCCCTGTTCCTGGGGCCTCGGTCTGAATACAGCCCTCACGTGGGGGTGCGCGTCACATCGACTCCCCACACCCGCGGGCAGAGGAGAGCGCGCGTCTGCTCTCCAAAGAACTATAATACATTTCTGAATTTCATTCTAATAAAGGTTCATACAAAAGAAAATGTAAGAATGTCATCACTATCATGTATTCAGATGTGTAATATTAGGTCTCAATTTTGTTTTTCTTTCAGGTGGGTTTGTTGGACCTTGAACTCAATCAGCTGACCAAAGCACTGTTTCTGGCCTTGGTGGCTCTCTCGGTTGTCATGGTGACCTTGCAAGGCTTTGTGGGCCCGTGGTACCGCAGCCTCTTCCGGTTCCTCCTCCTGTTTTCCTACATCATCCCCATAAGGTAGGTTTAAGAATTAAGGGGAAACTGATGTCTGGTTTCACCGGATACGATTTTATTGAAATGTGTTTCTCGGTGTGAAAGAAACTGTCGGCACAGGACTGAAGCGGAAGGAGCCAGGAGCGCTCGTGAATGTCGGGGATCCTTCTGTAGACAGTAGTATTCTGGGGGGCAAAATCAGTTTTAATAGAATAACCTAGAAATCCAATACTTTTCCTTCTGTGAATGTATTGATAATAGAATCTTTGACAATTGGGAAATACAAACATAAACATAGATCTCCATTCAACAAAATGGTTTTTGTCTATTGCTGATAGACGTTTTTATTTCCGGTGCCCTTGAGTCTGTATGCAGTCATTGACATTTTAAAGTTATCTATATTTCAGAGACCATCTAATATATCTGTCAAGATAGATAAAATATTGAGTAAGGCAGCCTTCTAACATGAAGTTTCTCAAAATGATCTCATCTAACGAGACTGGGATATGAATAGTTAATATTAGATGTCTATTTAATTTAAAGACTAATATTTGCAACAAATGTATATAAGTTCATTTAAAAATATTGCCACAAAAGATATTTTTAAATAGAGATCCTTAATATATATGATTGAAAGTTTTCATGTAAATGAGCAATTAAAACCTAATAAATCATGCATAAAGGGTGAATCTAGAATAACCACCCTTTGTAACGGAAAACAGAATAAAACTGTATAGAATGATTAGGTGCAAAGATGTAACCATTTTGGAAAGGCATATCTTTATTTACAGACCCGTTTTCTCTAAAAGTTTGTCTAAACGTGATGTTCTCTCATGGACTTACACCCTAGAAAGGGAGCTATAGTCTGTTCTGGGGGCTCCCTGCACACGACACCATCCTGGCCAGCAGCTCCCTGGGCCCCACCAGCTTCTCCCCACCGCCTCTGGGAACACGCAGTCTTGTGGGCTCGGTGCCCACGCTCCTCTGGCCCCCACAGGCGCAGCCAGCACACTGCACGCCCAGCAAATGTTAGCACTGTGTCTGTGGGAACCGGAGTCACTGATGTGGACCCCCCAGCCCCAGTCCGGCCTGACGTGGCCAGCCTGCCCACCCTCCGCCCCCGCCGTCCGCCACTTGAATGCTCGTCCCCCTCCCAGAGGTTTCCCCGTCTGCGCAGGCCCTGGCTGTCACTGACAGCGACTCGCTTGTCCCTGGCTCTGCCCCTCACCAAGCTCCGTGAGGACGGGCCTCATCCGCCCGCTTCCCGCTGTGCCCGGAGCAGAGTGCGTGGTGGGGACAGGTCCCCTGGCACACGGGCTCCTGAGCAGACCCCTTTCCAAGGAACTGAGAGTGTGCGGACAGCCTTTGAGGCTGTCACACATCGTCACAGCTGTCACGCAGACACACCGAGTGCCAGCGGCGGGTGCTGGGGGCATCCTGTGTCCCTCCAACGCCCCGGGTGAGTGGCAGTAGACAATGTAACCTATTGAACACCGGCCAGATGCACTCGTGGGGCCGTAACGGCCCTTCAGGTCGCCCCCCGCCTGTGCCCGTCCCACCGTGTGCCTACCTCAGGGCGCCTCCGCCGCCCCCTCCGCTGTGCGCCACCCATTCCGCAGGCCCCCTTTTGCCGTCCCCACACAGCCCTGGCTCACTGCGCGTGTCACCTGGTGTCGTGAGAGAGCATGGGTTCAGTTGTAGCCAGACGTCCCTGTGACCGGGCAGCCACCTGTGGTGGCTGTTCCACTGTCACTGTGCTTTACGCAGCGCCTAATTTCTGCTTGAGTCAGTTTTGCAAAGTTACAGTTTTCAAGAAATATGTCAACTGTACCTAAATGTTCAGATTCATTCACAAAAGCTTGCTTATAAAGTTTTCCTATTATCTCTTCCATAGAGGGGTCTTTTTGTTGCTGATACTTATTTTCGCTTTTCTTTTCTTCATCAGGCTACGATAGCTTTCTCAGCTTCGGTAGTTTTAGAGAAACCTCCTCTTGGCTTTGTTGATTCTGTATGCTAGGCGCTATTTCTCTGTTTTATTAATGTCCTGTGCTTGCTTTCCTTCCTCCTGCCTTCTTCGGTTGTATTATTCTTACGTCTTGAGATAGTTGCTCTGTTCACTAGTCTTCAGCTCTTTTCCCCGTTTGGAGTATATGCAGTTGAAGCTATAAATTTCCATGTGAGAACGACTTCGGCTGCGTCCCTAAAGTTTTCATATGTAGTAGTATTGTTCTTGTAAAGAGTATTCTCTGATTTCTACTGTGATTTTCTTTTCTTTGACCTGTGGTATTACAAAGTTACTTCTTAATTTACAAACGTATTTGAACTTCGTTAATTTTAGCTTAATTGTGTTGTTGTCAGAGAACATACCTTTTGTTATTTCAGATCTCTTAAATTTGTCGAGACTAGTTATAGGCCCGCTGTTTACTTGGTTTTTATAAACTTTCTGTGTGTACTTGGACGTGGATTCTGAACTATGGATTGTAGTCATCCATATCTGCCCGTTAGGTCAAGATGGTTAATCTCCTTTTCCAGTTTCTCTATGTCTCTGCTGATTTTTCTCTCTGCCTTTTCTAACAGTTGTTCAGAGCTGTATTAAAATCTCCCATCAGTATTGTGAATTCATCTGCTTTATCTTGGAATTCTGTCTATTTTTGGTATTATATATTTTTGTGGCTATGATATTGGTTATATACAAGTTTAAATTGTATATTTCTGCTAAATTAAGCATTTTCTCATTATAAAGTGACTATCTCTTCTAAAGCTTTTTGCATTAAATTCTACTTTGTTTTATGTTACTATAGCAATGCCAGCTGGCATTAATTTGCTTGGCATGTCTTTTTCCATCTTTGTATTTTCAACTTCTCTGTGTATTTATATTTATATGTGTCTCTTATAAGTAGTATAAAGTTCAATTTTTACCTACTCTGATAATTTTTTACTAGTGCATACACAATTGTAATGCTGTTATATTTTTAGTTTAAATCTATCATTTCATTTTGTGCTTTTAGTATGACTTACTTTTTCTATATATTTCTCCTTTCTTACAATTTTGTTTATTTTTTTATAATTCTAATTTTTTCTCTAGTGGTTTGGAAGTTTTATGAGTGGTTTGTTCTTGTAATAGTTATCCTAGAAATTAAAAACATTATTTTTAATTTATCAAAGTCTGAAGTTAACCTTTTCCATTACATGTCACCTAAGAGTGTTTACCATCATTTACTCCTTCTGACCTTATGCCATTTTTGTCATTTATTTTAATTCTAGTTACTCTTAAACCCCAAAGATATTATTGTTTATGCATTTTCTGTGTATTTTGTTTGATCCGTGTTTCTGTTCTTCGTTTTTTTCTTCCATGTGGAATAATTTTCCTTCTGTCTGAATTTTATTCTTTAGTTTTTGTTTAGTGCTGGTTTTTGTTGGGAACTCTCGAGACATTTTGCTTGGCTTTCCTTCTTGAAAAATAATTTCACCTGTTTTTAGATTTCTAAGTTGTCACATTTATTCTACTTTCTTTTGCCTGCTGTTGTTTCTATTTAATGGTCACCTTTTACATCTTATTCCTTTGTGTCCTGTCTCCCCTTCCAGATCCTCTCAGATGTGCTCTTCAGAGTTGGTGTTCTGCACTCTTTTATCAGGTGTCTACATAGAGGTTCTTTTTGTGTTAAGCTTAGCATTCATTGGGCTTCCTGAAACTGCACTTAGATTTCTTTCATTCATTCTAGAAAATTCTCAGTTTTTATCTCTTCAAATACTGCCTTTCTGTCTCATTCTGTCTCCTCTCTTTTGGGTACATCAGTTCAGTGTTTTTTAGATATCCTCACCATGTCCTTTGGTTTTCCTGTTTTTACTTTGCATTTTCCACCGTTTTTGTCTACATGCTTCATTCTATATCATTCCTAGTGGCCTTTCTTCCAAGTCACGTGTTTCATCTTTGACAGTGTCTAATCTGCTGTTAAACCAATCAATTTCTTAATTCAGTTATTGACGGTTTTTAGTTCTAGAAATTCAATTTGTTTTTTATCACATTATTTTATTTTTACATTTGCCTATTCCATACAAATATTTTTCTGATTTTCCTTCTGCATCTAGTTGTTTTATAGTCTCTATCTGTCATGTGTAATGTCTGATACCTTTGTCTGTCTTTGTCTCTTCTGTTTTTTTCTTTCTGGCTCTTAATCATGATATGTTGTTTCGCTGTGGGGTGTTTCTGTTTAGTTTGGGTTTATTTTATTATTGTTGTTGTTGTAATTGTACTTGAAAAGCTAATTATAGAAATCACTTGAGATCAAAGATGAAAGTGTGTTTTTCTGAGACATATGCACTTGCCTCTGCTGCATCCTTGGAGGTACCTTGCATTTGAAACAACTTTGTCTATGTTCAAGGCTCACAGTCACTGAGTTATTAAGGAGATGTGAGCCTGCCCCCGTCACCACATGCAGGCTCATTGACTGACTTTTCCAGTTCTCCCTTAGTTTGAGGGTACAGCCCTTTCTGGCCCCACTTATGGCAAGGAGGGACTCTGGCTGGACTGCCACCTTTTGATGGTGTGGGACTTTACTTTTGCTCCCTCGTGTAGGTAGACTGTTGAGAGAGTTGAAACTCTTGGGGGTGGGCATGTAGTCCTAAGGCAGAGGAGATTCTGGGGTTGCCTGCCTCTCTGGTAAACTGATTTGGATTGAGCTTAGAACTGCCTATCTAGTCAGTTAGACGGGAAATCAGTCATGTTAGGTGGGAAATCAGTCAGTTAGGTGGGAAATCAGTCAGTTAGGTGGGAAATCAGTCATGGTCCTTGCTCGCCAGTCAGGCACATCCCAGCTGTGATCGTCAAGAACAAGAGCAAAGGGACAAACGCTGTGAAGTATCTGCTTCACTGAAGGCAACGAGACTAATAAGAAATCGCAAAGGGCCTGTATCAGACGTGGAGAAACTTCTGGTGACCTGGATTGAAGACCAGACACAGAAGCATGTCCCTCTTAGCACCGTGATGATCACGGCCAGAGCAAAAAGTTTGCGGTGTTGAAAGA